ACTGGACTGAAACGGATCGGATTTGACATATCTATCAATCAAACAATCCAATCCCCTGATGTATTTTATGCAGTGAATTTTTTTTAATTTTTTATTTTTTTACTGACACAACACAGATTATGCATATGAAGAGAGGACACAACTTAAAGCACAGTGCCTTCACACTGCTTAAATTCTTTATATGTCCCTTTGGCAAAAGCTTGCAGAGGTCAGCTTCAGATCAGTACTGGATTGGTATCCTGTATCAGCCAATCTGAAAACAGTATGGGACAGTGACAGATGGTTGTTCTAATCTAAGTTATCATCAGCAGCTTAACAATGAAACTATTAGGGTTGGGCAACATATAATCACATCACAAGATCACATTGATGCCATAATAAGAATGATGTGGGGCAAACTACTACTACTACTACTACTACTACTACTACTACCACCACCCCACACACACACACACACACACACACACACACACACACACACACAGAAGCAGACAGGCAGCTGCATTTGTGATTTCTAAATTGGTTTTAAGTCTTTCAAGTATGTAATGCTCTTTCACAGTGGTATTTCCTTTGAATAGCAAACACGGTAAACAGAAGTTATAGGCCGAACCCTTCCATTCAAACCAAAAAACATTAAACTTACAGCTCTGTGTTCTGCCCTTTTGTGTAATTTGTAGTTTGCATGGACACTTTCTGCTTAGTCTATCTACTTTTACTTTCTCCACAAAAGACATTTGGAGAAAGAAAAAAAAAAAAACAGTAATCCACCTCTTTTGCTTTCATTACACTGATGACATGTGCCTTCTCAATCACTGATTTCAGTGAAATGGAATGAAAATATCAGCCCAAATGGTAATCAAATCTAGGGAGTGTGTGTCTCTGTGTTATCACTTGTCATGAGTCAGTGGCTACGTTTACATGCACATCAATATTCCGATACTAATCAGAATTTGGCAATATTCGAATTAGTACTAAGGCATGTAAACGCCGCAATCTGATTGCCCGATTGAGATTAAGACAATATTCTGATTCCCCAAATTCCGATTCCCACCCCTGGAACATGCCTGTTTTAATCGGAAATTTTAATCAGTCCGCAAGGAATTGTGGGTACTAACAGATGCTTAGCTGTAGGCTAGGTATTTAGGAATGGCAACTCAGGCATACTTACAACAACCATGTATACGGGAATATTCTGATGCCTGTACGCATATAAACATCATATTCGGAATATGGCTGCAACCCAAATATAGACTTAATCTGATGTGTATTCAAATGTAGGCAGTGACAGGCTGCATGAATCTACAGTCTGGGCTAAAAAAAAATCAGTCTCAGCCTCGTTTTTTAACAGTTTTGCTGCTGCTGTTCTCATTTCCACAAAACTCCCAAATAATCTGTATTTATTCACAGCAAATAATCTGATGTAGAGTACAAAACCGAAATCTTATATTGATTTTTTTTTAAATCTCTGTATGGCAGGGAGTTGTCTAAATATTGTTAATAAAGCTTCGCAGTTGTAATTCCACATTTAAGTGAGGTTTGTGTGTAATTTGCAGGTTGGGAAATTAAATCAACACAATTCAGGCAGCACATGAAGGCAACTTAATAAAGGGGGCGTGGCCAATGAACCTATTAACCACGACAATAAAGTCAGTACTTCACATGATTGCAGTAAAAATTCAGTCATTATTATTATGATGGTAGTGAAAAAGTAACAGAAGATCACTTCCAGGTGCAGTGTTGAAAGTGTAGTGGAAAACTCCGCCCATCTCCATCAGCCTCACTGAAGCGCCAAGTTTCGGCTGTTAGTTACTAACTGACAGCATCACTTTCATTTCATCATTAACTGTTCACAGTGTCGACAACTTGCTAAAAAACTGAGCAGGAAATCATTTCCACATCACAAACAGCACTGGTGCCTTTATACGCTCCAAAAACCAAATGCCCCTCTGACTAGTTTAGCTGCCTTAGCCTGTTAGCCTCGGCTGCTCCACTGAAACTTCACCTTTTCAATTCTTTTGCACTGCGTTAATAAATGCATAAAGATTTATTACTGTTTACTGAACTGCACTGATCCTCACAGCACCCTAAATAACGATTCTATATCATTCATTTTTTGTTGCAAACTACATAGCAACTCTCGCACCTGGCTAATCCTGCTATCGCTTCTAAATCCCTCACCCAATCCCAAACGCATCGCTATTCCCTGTGCAAGTGCACTACGCAGGTATTACGTAATGTCTCGTACACCCTAGGTAGTGCACTACAATGTTACACGGTGAGGCGTTTGGGATTGGGCCGCAGTATAACCTCAGCCCCACCTCGTCCACAGTCCTGCGCGGGAGATGCAGCATGCCGAGCAGCAGTTTCAGCTTCACCGGAGGAGATAAATTGGAGAAACACAGTCGGATGTTGTCGATAACCGACACTGTAAGCAGAGAGCCGATGCTCGAAGGCGTCCACAACTCATCCGTCGAGCCTAGTTTGTTGTGAAGCCACAGGCCGGTGTCGCTGTCCCTCATCGACGCCATCTTGGAAAAAGACGAATAATTAGTTCCGGCATTTTAACAGACTACCTAAAACCACACACACACACACACACACACACACACACACACACACAGAGCCAGGACCCCTGACAAACACACACACACGGTCACACAGTACACAACACAATTTATATATATATATATATACAAACAATGATATGTCCAATGTCCACTGTTTTGTATTGTATATATTGTAAATACTCATATAATCATTCATCATATCTTTGTGTATCAACATAACATGTACCTCTGCAGAAACCTGACTCTAACTCAGACTTCAGATTTAGTTTAGGTTATACAGTAGAGTGCAAAACTTTGCACACCCTTAAACCACAATGGAAAAAGAAAAGTGTACTTAACATCAAGACAAACAAAGTGAGTGAAGTTTCAGCTGTTCCTTCATTATAATTATTACAGCAGTGGTCAAATATGTTGTGCTGAGGGTTTAAATTTTCTAGGAAAAAAAAAAAAATTGGTTTGTTACCAAGAAACAGCAAAACGCCCTTCATCCTGAAGACTGCCCCAGTGTGAAAAACTTAAAGGTACATCTTTACCTCCGGCTGTTAAAAATAAATAAATAAATAAGTAAGGAAGGCTGGCACTAGAGGCTCCTATAAATGTTAAATAAACGTCTCCTTACAGAAAACCTCACCATATCAACGAATATACATTTTCTTTGTTAAATAGCGCGTTTCTTGATCTGTTTATTATTAATTTTAGATTATGTGGATCATCCACAATACAAGTCCCCCTGATTTATAACGTTATTATTACAGCTCGACATAACACACAGGCTGGAACAGGCTCAGCACCAGGATGGGGGTACTGTCGCTGCCAGCCACGTGACCACAGCGGACGAATCAGAGCGCAGGACGTCGCCAGTCTGTTGAATAAAACATAGGGCTCCATGTTGTCCTGTAGGTTTGCAGAAGAGAAACTGGAGCATCTTTCTGTACAGCCAGCTGAAGTGCAGCATCAATTCCGTAGGGTTGGTTGGTATCTCTGGTCTCTTTTAGTTAAAAAAAAAAGAAAAGAAATGAACGCCAGTATGTGTAGAGTTTATAATTACGTAGGGTTCGTGTTTTACACACTGAATTGTGTTGTCGTATCTGTCGCATATATTTATTTGTTGATGTCCGAGACACACACGGACACGTTTGTGTTATAGCTCCCCAGCATCTGGTCCGGATGAGATGGATGCTGTCATTCAGTTGGAGGATTAATAACGCGTGGAAGTGCGTGGTTTTGCGTGTTCCCAGGCTGAGGGACTGTGCTGTTTTGTAGGCCGCTGGTGAGAGACAGGAGGATGAGGTCGAGCTGCGCTTTGGCTCCAGTGCTGCTGCTGCTGCTGCTGGCGGTTCAGCTCATCACCGCACAGCCAGACTCGGGCACTGTTATTCCTGCTGAGAGTAAGATATTCATGAGCAAATTCTCTTTTTCTCACTGACTGCCATTATGCATGTGTTCCTGAGAAGAGAAATACTTAGAAATATTTATTATATGTGGGCAATTTCATACAACTACCTCAGCTTAATATTGCACAGAACAGCTGCACACATCTGCACTTTATCAGACTGTTGCTGCCACCATCTTTAAATCCTCATCCTATATTTTTATACTTTTTCTTTTAATACTTTCCCATTTTTAACTCTATGTAAATTCTATTTTATGTCATAGACAGTCATAAAAAGCACTTCACTACACGTTGTACGGTGTATGGTTGTGTGTGTGTGACCAATAAAATTTGAATTTGGATAGACCCAGTAGGGTCTGCAATTCTTGCATTACCACATAACATAGAGATGGAAAATATACTTAATGCTTCCTTTATCTTGTATACCAGTTAAAATCAGTGTGGACCATCCTTGCACAACAACAATTACTTCCTAATTTTAAATGATTTACACACACTCTCAGAACTGGTGTAATATAAACTGGACATTTCCATGCCATGATGTACCTTTATGATGTATCATTTACCTAGAAAGGTGCATGTATTGTACCATTAAAGCTTTACTCTAAAATGACTTACAGTCCATTTATGTAGCTTTTAAGTCATTTAAAAAGGACTTGTATGTCATTTTTAAAGGTACACTATAACCACATTTCCAGGTTACAGATACTTATACCACAGTGTGGTTGAATACTTGAATCCGATTGGTCAGGAGGTGTGCATTATTTTGTATAACAGCATGCCTTGAACAGTAGTTCTGGCTCAAACATGAAAGAAAGGTTTATATTAATGCTCTTGTTCTAATACATTATTGTTTCTATGGTAACAGCTCATACACAAAGACTTGTACGGCTTCATGTCATGCCACGTCATATAACTGCATGGTCTGTCATGTTATTACTTACATATTAAAGGTGCAAAAGATGTAGCCTTGAAGGTACCACCCCAGCAACAAGGAAAGTTGCAGTTTAGTATTATTATTTCAGCAAGTGTACTTGGGGTTCCTGAGGGACTAGTGGTTAGGCCATGGCACTCCCACTGTTGCGGCCCGGGTTTGATTCCTGGCCGGGGAGCCAACCCCAGGCACTGGTGTTGCACACGACCATGCAATCCCAGTGCTGGTCTGGGTGGATAAAACTGGGGAGGGTTGCGTCTGGAAGGGAATCTGACATAAAAACTGTGCCAAATCAGATATGCGGACCAATGATCTGCTGTGATGATCTCTAATCAGAGCAGCCAGAAGAAGAAGAACAACATTTCGGCAAGTGTACTTAAAGGATAAACCCACACTGAATGACTTGCAGATTAATCTTTGTAATTAACATGTGATTTTCAATGGAATCCAAGCTTTATTTCGTAATGAAATTGACTTACTTTTTAGTTTTTTTTTCATCATGTTGGTCTGTTTTTGGTTAATGGTTTTCTACATTACCCACAATGCTGTTGAACTACTTTCTCATAGTGGTGCCATTTGAATTAGAGATGGCACTACTGTCAGAGCTGCTACTATGGAAAAATAGCCAAGACATTCTGAGTAAGCAGATTTTGCAATTCAGCACTGCTGTGGTTTAGTCACAATTATCCTACTGTTATAGCTGTACACAGATGTAATATCCAAATTTGAATCCTGATTGGACATGTAGTGCACTACGTAGGGTGTTAAACTTATTTACTGTACTTAAAGGAAAAATAGTGAGTCATTTTAGGGAGTACCAATTAGAGCACCATGGTTGGGTCGTTTGGATATTGCTTCAGTGACCCATAAAGTCTGGTCCATTGGTAAAAAGAGACTGTTATATTTCTACATATACATTGGGAAATATTAGAACAGTTGTATGACAAACCTGGTTGAGTTGATGAACCTTCGCTCCTCTGTCAGGTCGGCCATGTGTGGACTGCCATGCGTTTGAATTCATGCAGCGAGCACTGCAGGATCTGAAGAAGACGGCCTTCAACCTCGACTCACGGGTAAGTCAGCAATAAAACAGTGGTGGTAATTTTTTAGGTTTACCTTACACTTAGAAAAAAGGATTTGTTTAAAAAAATCTGTTAAATATACTATATAAAAATGCTCTGTTTTGGATAAGATAGTAACTGTAGCATTTCATGGTTGATGATGATAGTGAAAATCAGGCTTCATACCAGGCATGTATTTCTGGTCATCTGTTTGTAATAAAAAAAAATTCTTGGGGGATGGTGGGTTCAAATGACTGGGGGTCCACAAGTCATAATATTTAACCTAACTACATGTGAAAAACCCACATAAAACAGTTATTCATTTATTAATCGGTTATACATATCCAGCTTTCTAATGTAATAGCCTAATTATTGTAAAGAAAACAATCCCTCTACAGTGTCTCGAATAAGTTTTCCTTTCCCTTGAACTTTCTCCTCATTTTGTAATGTTACAACCTAGAGTTGAAATTGACTTAATTGGGATTTTTTACCATTTGCTTTGCACAATATGTCTAACATTTAAAGGTGCAACATATTTTTTAGCATGACACAAAGGTTAATTAAACAAAAAAAGCTGACATTTGTGGTTGCAGGAGTATTCATTTCCCTGGGTCAGTACCTGGTCAGTAGAAGTCTTCTTGGATATGCCTCTCGGTTTTGCCCATTCTTCTTGGCAAAATTGCTCAAGTTCTGTCAGATTGTATAGAGACTGTTGGTGAACAGCTATTTTCAAGTCTTGCCACAGATTCTTAATCAGATTGAGGTCTGGGCTTTGACTGGGCTGTTGTATCTCTTTCAGGTTGTTGGATTTGATCCACTCCATTGGGATAGAGTCATTTGGGTCTATCCATCTTGACCCACCAATTTCCCATTCCCTGATAATTAAAAGCATCCCCACAGGAGTTATGGGTTATGAGTTTAGGGTTATGAGCACTGTTGGGTTTTGGACAAACCCAAGGCCAAAATGTTCAGTTTTGGTTTCATCAGACAAGAGAACCTTTTTCCAAATTTCTAAATAAACCTTTTGGAAAACTCCAGACAGGATTTCATATGGCTTTTTTTCAACAATGGCTAATAACATTTCTTAATAATTCTTCTAATCACCTTTCCATAAAGCCCAGCTTCTGCCAGTTGGGCTGTGGTTTTCTTCAACTTCTTCTGAGTTACCCTTGTCCTCTTGGGTGCTTCACTAAAATCTCCCTTGTATTACCAATAAGAAGCATGCATTTCTACATAACCACTTCCTTGGTTGGTGCACATTTGCTTTATCTTGATTGCAACTTCTTGGTTTGGCTATCGGTTCCATGTTTATTAGCAAATAGAAAGTGAAAATGATTTCTAGAGCACTAGATCAGTACTTTACCTGAAAGTAGTTACTAACCTGTTCGCTGTGTGTGCTTTGTTCATCAGACTGAGAATCTGGTGCTGAGAGCTGAGAGGAGGGCGCTGTGTGACTGCATGCCCATCAGCACCTTAAACTGAACACTGAGCCTCTGATCGCCGTCACAGCGTCGCTGTAGAGCTTTCAGCCCATCACGCCATCTTATTGTGTACTTATTCATATAAAAACATGAACACTAGTCAAATGCAATTTTCTTTTCCTCTGTGGTCTAAACAACCTGTTTTGCAAACTTCTTACAGAACACAAGACCGGCATGTTAAAGTTACAGAGTTGTATGAGCCAATACTATTCTGATCAGTATATAACGCTTTATCATACATTTCTATGTTTCTGTAATAAATGTTGTGGTTATATATGTAATGTTGATGCTTGATTTCTTCATTTTTATATTATAGTTCACACTTAAACGTGTAAAATATTATTTGCACAATATTTAGAATTACTGCTATTCTATGTCACACTATTAAGGCTTCTAGTATTACATTTTTAATTAATAACAATACATATAACTGAATAATATTAGAAATGCAGCAGATAGATGCATTTTCATGTAGAAATCTGTAGAGAAGAAATACCTTTTAAGAAATTTTATAATACAAATGTATAAATGTGTGTAGGAAGGGTAGTGTTCTGAGTATCTATACTTATTGATAAGAAAAGGCATGATAAATGTAGTACACATTAGTTTAGCTGTTTTATATCGTCATTGGGCCAATCAAATCCATGATTGTCATGTTGGTGTGTAGCTGGGTTTAATACAGATTATACTGAGCTGCAGAGCTGGGAGAGTCAATAAGCAGTGGCTCACTGAATGTAACTGCAACGGTTATCAATTTAGAATATTAATAACTGTAATGTCCTGATGCTACTTTTTTGTCATTTGTAAACAGTTTTCATTTATAAAGTTAAATGTATCTAAAACAAAATTAAACAGCATTGAACACAAACATGAGAGCTGTCTTTCAGTGTCTTATTTATCCATGCATGTTAATGAGAAGAATGTTGACTCATGAAGTACAGTATTGACATATGATAGTGTGTGCTTTTCCTGGAATAGTTCTGTTGTTACAGCACACACTTTTCATCTGCGGCTCACCTTTTGAGTGACCCCAAACCCAAATCATAGCATGTACGAGTTCATTTTTATTGTTACATAGAGAAAGTAAGAAATCGCAAAAGTGACAGACAGACACCTTGAAATTTAAACTGTCACTCCCGCCCCCAGTGAAGAGAAATGAGTTTAAGTGTAAACAGAGCTTAAGGATGGGTTCAAAAAATATCCTCTGATAGTTCATAGATTAATAGGATACATGTTGATGTATTTTTGGCTTGTTAGATATTGTTTTGCCCACAAATTGCTCAAAATCCACCTGTAAGACATGCAACAGTTTAAAAAACAAAACAAAACGGAAATCATACCAAACCGGCTCTGCCTGTCTGGGGTGAAAAGCTCCCAATTTGGCAACACATGATGCGAGCGCTCCTCTCTGAGTGGGCTCGCGGGGGCGCGCGCACAGCACGGCTCGGCTCCGGTGTCGCAGCGCTGCAGCATTTACAGCCGACCAAGCAGCTTTCCAGCAAATACATCCACGCAGCAGCAGCAGCCACTAAAGAGAGCAGCGATACCCACAAAGCGCCATCGGCTTTCCTTTAAAACTGCAGTGTCCCGCATTCATTAGCCTGCCAAAAACTGGCCAGCATGTCGCAGTGAGAGGGGGGAAAGAAAAACACGCTGTGTACCGGAGATATCCTGTTTTGGCCTATTTTCCTGCCCATAATTAGGCGCTTTATTCCAGATATTACAGTATAGTACAGAGTTTATTTGAGGTATGAGACCATGATATTGGTGACATTAAATGAATCAGATTAAATAAATCAATCAGAAAGACTAGCGCTTAGTGTTTTGAGCACTTGACAATAATTACTTAATAAAGTTCACAGTTGCCTCAGGTAAGCAGATTTACTGTTCGACAGGAGTTTGGATTAAAGTGTGTGATATGTTGATGCATGAGACCCACAAGAACATGACAGATAGAAAAAAATCGACAAAAGAGTCAAAAAAGTCATCTCTTAATGCTGAGGTGAACTGACTTACTTAATACCTCACTGGTAAAATGACCAGGACGTGAGTTGAGAAATGCTGATGACAAACCAGGACTGACCATTAGCACACCAAATGTTATGGATTACCTCAATAGTAAGACAGTATTACACAGAGGTGTATAGTTAGATTGTACGCTCATGTTCTATAATCAAGAATGTTCAATTTAATTTCATTTTTGCAGTGCTTTTTGCAATAGGTATTATGAAAAAGCAGCTGGATGTACATTCAGATCCCTAATGAGCAAGCCAGAGGTGAGAGTGGCAAGGAAAAACTCCCTGAGAAGACATGAGGAAGAAACCTTCAAAGGAACCAGACTCAAAAGGAAACACATCCTCATCTGGGTGACACCTGATAGTGTGAATATAAAGCATTACTGTATAAAGGTGTAGAAGAGTGAAGGCAAACAAGGCGAGTCCATGCAGCAGTTCTTAGGTACAAATCCAAAGCAGCAGAAAATGAATCACAATTTTCAGCTTCAGGTTTGTCAAATCAAAACCAGTAACATATACTGATGGTTGATTACTTTTGTTTCTGTATGTCTAGGTTGTAACAAGACCACATAAATATCCGACAGCCAAAAGAGATCCCTAACCAAAACTGAGCAGGAGAAC